CGACTTTGTTCGTTTTCAGATCGTAAACGTCCAAATCTCCGCCGTCGGGAAAAACATTTCGTCTGACAAAAAACAGATCACCGAAAACCCCGCCGATTTCATTTCCTTCGACATTTTTCAGATTCAGCAAAGAATCGGCAGAAACTTCACAATTTTTTTTCAAATCGCTTTTCGCGTCGCGTTTGAAAATTTCAATCTCATACCCTTGCCCGGTGCCGATGTCTTCTTTTTCGTTATTTTTCAGATACGTTTTGAGAACGTATTTATTGAAAACATAACATTGCGCTTTTTCACCGCTCTCGGATTTATAAAGCGGTTTTTCGGAATTTTTAATAAATCCTGCGCTTTGCGCCGAAGCCGAAAGATTAAAAACAAACATTGCGGCGACAGCCGGAATCAGAAATTTTATTTTGTTAATTTTGGTCATAAGTTTTGTCCGAATTTCGATCTATTTTTTGCGAACTGCTTTTCCTTCAATGATCTTCACGCTCAAAATTTTGTCGCCGCGCACGATTGAATCTACGATTTTCATATCGGATTCGTTCACTTTTCCGAAAACCGTGTAGCCGCCGTCAAGATGCGGTTGCGGGCTGTGCGTGACGAACCATTGCGAACCGCCCGTATCTTTGCCCGAAAGTGCCATTCCGACCGCGCCGCGTTCATATTCCCGCATATTTACTTCGCACCGAATCTGCCAGCCCGGACCGCCGTTTCCGTCGCCGCGCGGATCGCCGTCCTGCATCACGAAATTCGGCACGACGCGGTGAACCGCAAGACCGTTAAAATAATTGGATTTCGCCAATTTAATGAAATTATCGACCGTCAAAGGCGCGTCTTCGGGCAACAAATCGATCGTGAAATTCCCCTTTTCGGTCGTAAAAATTGCTTTGACCGTTTCGTTTTTGCGCGAAACTGCGCGAACGTAATCGGCGTTCGTGTTCAGAATTCGTCCGAGTTTTGAATTCGGAGAAAACGGCAAAACTTGATCGCGTTTGCTTTTTTTGTATCGTTCGAGCGTGGTTTTTACAAAATCGTCTTTTTTAATTTCATCGCTTTGCAAGAGATCGGCAGCTTTTTTGCGAACGAGATAATCTTTTGAATTTATGGCGATAAAAAGTGTCGGCGGAACCTCATTTTTATCCAGTTTGAAAAGCGCATCGAGAATCGCCAACTGTGCGTCATTGTAGTCTTTATCGTTTATAAAAGCGTAATTGAAAGCCTCTTGCAAGGCTTTGACGTTTTCTTTTGAAGGCGTTTGTTCGCCTAAGATTTCGGCAATCGCGGCGCGGATGAAAAGGTCTTTTTCGGCTTCAAGAATCGGACGCAAAATTCCTGACGTATTTTCTGATTTGAATGCGGCAAAAGCGCGAAGCAAATCGGGAATCGCAAGGCTTGTTTTATTCGATTTTTGTTCGTGCGTAAGCCAGATACTAATGAGTTGCACAAGCAAAAGCCGTGTTTGCGATTTCAGCGCGTCGTTTTCCTTATTCGATTCGAGCGCGGCGATTTCGCCCAAACCTTGAAAAACTGCCGAAGACGTGCGCCAATTTTCTGCAAAGATCGCTTCCGCGCCGGACGAAAAGGTTTCAATGTAATCTTTCGGCGCAATTCGCGCTAAAGCAATTTCGGTTTCAGGCGATAAATAATTATCGAGCTTACGCAAGATTTTTATGAAAGAAACGGCTTTTGCATCGTTGGAATTTGCCAAAAGTCTGCTCAAAACCGTTGCAATTTCAAAAAGTTCGCTTTTTGCCGATGGACTTCCTTTTTGCGGTGCGAATGTTGATGCACCGTAAAGTGAACTGTAAATAAAATTTCCGCGCTCGATTAGTTTTTCGGCTGATTTTTTATCTTTCAAACTTCCCAAAGCGCGAATCGCCGAAACGCGCACACGCGAATCCGTATCTTTTACAGCCGCGTC